GCCTTTATACAAGAGGTTGAAGATGAAAGATATGATGATTTAATGCTTGAAATGATTACTTCCAATGATTGATATTCTTAAATGACATTGTGACCATTTTAAAAACTGAAGAAAAATTTCAATCATCGTTATAGTTGGGAAGAATGTTTCTCTATTTAGGAAAGTTCAAAGGTTGTACATATAACATTAGAACAATTAATTATTAAATCCGTATTAAATAATCTTCAATTATTTATTTATTTATGAATTTAAGTGACACACGTTTTTTATAATAGAAAAAATGGAAGAAAATAAATATAGATATCAGAAATCGAACCACGTATCACTCACTCTATCACCACGGTTGTGTCTATTAATCGTGATAAAATGAATTTCAAATAAATAAATCAGTATTAAGTGCATTCAATTTCATATATTACAACGGTGGATGGGATGACTGTGGTAATATTATGTTACCGAATGCCTATTTTGTAGTAGTGCATGCATAAAATGAATTGCTTATTGGAGAATGATGTCATTATCAGTTGTCCTTTTACTAGACAAAAAAAATACTATGGATGGGTCTAACTGTTTGATTTAGATAAGTATATAATCTGTTTACCATAATCTTCATAATAAGCATGTAAATATTGTTACATAAGGTAATGGTTATGAATTTTTTTAAAACTTTGAGGACAATCTACCTTAGGAATTAATGCGATAAGAGTCTCAAATATAGGGGAGTGAAAGCTACCTATCATAAAAGCATCTGATATAAGTTGGACAACGTCATATTCAAGTATATGCCAAAATTGTTTTAAAAAAAATACCATGGAATCCATAAAGGGCAGACGCCTTAAAAAGGTGCATTTGATTCGACACATAAGTAAATTTTTCCTTCACCCCCTGTTGAGTCAGAGAGTGTTGGGCTTCTTTAGTAAGAAATAGATTTATCGTTGAGTCACACATACTATCAAGGAGTATATAAGATGTAGAGCTAAAAATACCTTTAAAAAGAGTTAGTGCTTTTTCCTCGAGAATAGTGTCATCATTGCACCAAACACCACTGGGAAGATGAAGACCATAGACTTTATTTCTCTTTTGTCTGTTTACCGTCTTGGTATGAAAAACTTTGATATTATGATCTCCTAATTTAATTGAATCATCTCTAGCCTTTTGATACCAATTAATATCCTATTACGTAAGGATCTTATCATACTCCTATTAGACATAAACTATTTTTGCCGAATCTATTCTCTTCAAAGATCGTTGGATACCCCTGAGTTTCTTATCAATTTTGTGCTTTTATTTATTGATATTTCCAAAAGTTTCCTTATTAAAATTGATAGAATCGTGCTATGCATTTTGAGGACAAGTTACAATGCCATATGCGGATTTCCCTCAAGCAGACTAGACTATATTGGAGTATTCCAGGCGAGTGATCCAAGCTGACTCAAACCTAAAAGGAATCTGATGAAACTCTATTATTACGTAATATTCGTGAGTATTTTCTATGGAATCATTAGAGTAATGAGCAAAAGTCAAGAAAAAATAACGAACAAGCGAGGAAAATGACTAAAGGTGAAAAAAGTTTGAACTTAGAAAAAATAAGAAGAAAAAGGAAGAAACAAGAAGAATTTGCCTCAGTTTTTTTTCTTGCGGTGGTGATGCTTACATAGTGGGCACGATGACGTCAAATCATGATCGTGATGAGTGCTAACACAGTCGCGATGATGTGTTTTCCCGACACACGTGTGCAACTTTTTAAATGGAATTTTGCTACTTTTCTTAGGGTGACGAATTCCAAGGGAGAAAGTGACGGCAACGAACTTTTGTAAGCGAATTTGGAGAGCATTGAAGTCTCTAGAGAGCATATTTCCCATTGATTTTCATGTATACTTTTCATCAACTCGTGACAATTGTTAATTTCACTATGAGTAGCTAAGCTATTTTAGATTACGTCTTTTGACATAAACCTAACTTTACTCTGTTGGATCGTATAAATGTTTGAGATTATTTTAATACTTTTATGTCAATTGTTATTCAATTGTTCTTGTTGTCATTTCACTTTGTGTGTTGATGAATGCACAACATAATTTTAGATGAGTAGAGATTATTGATCGTAAGTCTACCAATATAAATTAGGACAATTGTTCAACTTAGTAATTAACTAGGGATAGATAACTATAGTTGTGGCTGTAGAATTAACGAACTTAGAAACACCTAGTTTTACTTTAAATTCACCTAAGCAATTCGGGAATTATCGTTTAAATTAGTGAGTTGCACACCAATGAATTAGGTGTAATGGTCTCGTTAATTCGTTGTATAATTATCGAGTAATTGTTATTCATCTGCTACATATTCATCAACACGTATAATTAGGGGATTCGAAAGAAAGACTTAATCATTTTTCTTAATCAAATTTTACTATTAAATTTTTCTTGTACTTGGTTTCGTACCAATCATGATTTAAAACCCCCTTTTGTTTGTTTTAAATTGAATTAGTCTAACCTTGTTTAAATTTGTAAATCATGTGGAGACGAATTATTTTATTACTTCGACGAGACTAGTACATTTGCTAGTTTAGTCATCAGACGCGTCTTGTGGTCTTTGAGGGGAAGGCCACACCTAAGGAGAAATAAGTTGTGATCAGAATGAAATTTACACAATATCTCAATATATGCATTAGGTAAAGCCATGCGCCAAGCAACGCCAACCAGGGTCTTATCTAGCTTGTGATAAACCATTTAATTACCAGTACAAGGCCTATTACAAATGAATTTTTCGCCAATCATGCGTACTTCAACTAAGTTACACTGTTTAATGACATTCAACAAATCAATTCCCCTATAATGATTAAAGTTATCTCATTTTTATTCACTTAAATGAATGATGTTATTAAAGTCTCCAATCAACATCTAAGGACCATGAATAATGCTCTTCAAGTCAATGTGGTGGATCCACATGTCAAGACAAGAAGTGTACACAAGACACACATAAATTCCAATTACATACCCTAGAGGAAGTTCCTGATGATAACTTGATAGTAATTGTATTCATAAAGACATCATGTGCGGCAATATAATTATTACTACCGTTCTAATTTAACACCCAAATGCCCTCGGGCTGACCATGCACATCACTGCAATGAACAATCACATATCTAGCTCTATCCCAGAAGGATTTAGTATTATGAAAACCAATGTATGTTTCCATAACGTTAACAAATGCTGAAGAGTGTTTTCTAATCAAATCCACCATGTATCTTTTAGCCTTATTATTATTATAGGTTTTCAGAATATTCTAGGAGAGCCCAATGCCTTATTTGAAACCTAAGACAACTAGTCAAGTTGATGGAGGTGACAAAGCAAGAGACAGTTTACGTAGCCGACTCCTATTTAGTGGGAGTTTCATGAACAATTTCCTTTTCTTTAGTAACACCCTCATCTATAACATATTGGTTATTTTCATCTTCCTAACTTGCTATCGATTCAAAATGTATAATTCTATATCGTGTGATGGTCTCCAAACCTAAATTTACCATGAGAATGATGAATGTGTATTTAGCATTGCTAGGCACACCTTTTTGTGTTGGACATGAATTAAAAATTGGCCAAGTTTTGTGAGAAGGCCTACTCATAACGAGTTGTAGTTCCAAAATAGCAGACTTAGCCTTGGCGCGTGGGTCTCCTCTGCGTACTAGCTGATGCACGACTGAGGTAAGTTCACTCTCATCAAATTCCTTATTTCTTAAAAACCACACTAAGTTAGTTGGGTCCAGCAGTTTTGCTGTTAGCGTTTATTCCTTATAAGGAAACATTAATCCCTTTGATTTTGGAACTCCCTGAATCTCTACACGCATTATTGGATAAATATTTCCGTTGATCATGAATGACTCTTTTGTTGGATATTTTCCTATGCACCACCACTTAATCTCCATGAGTTGCATGTATTTCTCCATATACTTTTGCTACAATTTTGGGCTATCTTTGCCCACTTCCTGATGCACTTTTGTTAGTCATTGCTCACAAACAACATTGTTTTACAGTGGACCTCTTGGGTTGCACCACCGTATAGACGATAGGCTATGTTAAATTATCTAGTGATTTCTTGCAATTACGGGTGTGATGTCCATAACAACCATAACAAGAGAAAATAATGTGAAGACCTTCATATTGCACGTTGTATCAATGACAATTAACATTGACCTTTCTGACAAATGGCAATGTCAGATCAATCTCTATGTAAATTTTCGCAATCCTTCCCCTTTCTAAACCTCGCCAACATCACAAAAAAAAAAATCCTCAAACACTTTAAATAGATCCCTAGCATGTAAGTGCTCTGGAAAAGACGTGAAGAAGAATGATGAAAGATAGAACATCCCACCCTCACTTTTGAAGCTTTAGGGTTATCTCAGGGTTTCAGCCTCCTATCCCTCCTTCTATTACCTGCCACTCTCCAACCACCTTCGAATGCATTACCACCAACTTCAGACATGGTTTCTATACTCTCCAATTCTATAAACTTGTTATTTCTTGCTCTTCCGGTAAATAAGTGAGGTTCCAATGTAAAAATAGAAGTTAATTATTAACCTTTTAGTATCATTAGATGCTCAAATGTTATAATTCTATTGAATGATGATATAAAATTAGTTTACAGTCACAATGCACTATCCTTAATCTCATTGGGTAAATATAATTTGCACTATCCTTAATCTCATTGTATAAATATAATTTAACATCAGTGATCAATCATTAAAAAATAAAAAAAAAGCTTAAGCGACAAATTAAAAAAAAAAAAAAACTAGTAAAAAGGTGTTTTTTTTTTTACCGAATGAAGGATTTTCCGTAAGAATCGGATTGAAAAAAGAGGACGAGGGACAAGAAAGAACCGGGTTATAACCGGGCCAACCCGAATAAATGATATAAAACCACCCTAACTCTGTTTTAGGGTTTTAAGTTTGTTCCTTGTGCTGTGTTGGATCTACTACCGCCCCAAAATCAACTTCTCGCAAACCCACTATGACTGCTCAAACTCAGGAAGAGCTTCTTGCTGCGCATCTCGAACAGCAAAAGATCCATGTAATTCACCTTCTCTTCATCTTCTATAACTTTTTCATTTTCAATTTTGTATTTTTATTGTTTTTAGTTTATTTATTGGTTGATTTTAGTTTGATTTTAAAGTACTTTGCTTCAGTTCAATGTTCTAATGATTTAGGATTTAATTTTTATATACCAGTTAATCCTTTTATTAGGACTCTGATTTAGGATTTAGGGTTTTAGATGTCAATTTTTTTTATAATTTTGATTTAGTTTACATGTTGCGTTTGATATTAGGGATTTTGGATTTGAGTGACTGTTTCATAATTGTTGATTTTATCTGCAATAAACTTTTAGGTTTTATTGGTAATGAAATGTTACTGTAATTTTGTATGAATAAAAGAGTGTATATTATTTAAAAGCTGAATATGTCATTGTGATTGCTTAGTATTCATTGAATTTAAATCTTGTGTAACTGTAGAAGCTGGATATTTTTTTGCTGCATTATTTTTAACATTTGTGATATATATTTTTTGCAGCATGATGAGCCTGTAGTTGAGGATGACGACGATGAGGAAGACGAGGATGACGATGATGATGAGGAAGATGACGATGTAGAAGGTAAGCCTGTAAATAAGATTAATTGTCAGTGCTCTTGTGATTAAGATTAATTGTTAGTGCTCTTGTGATTAAGATTAATTGTTGCTGCTCTTGTGACTTGCCCCATTTTAGCATTTGGCAAATGTTTAGTGGCATTCCTCCATTAATTTGGTAGGAATTAGTTCAAAGTTAACAAATGTGTAGTCAATTAGATTATTTTTGCCTAACTGTTCTTCAGGTGACTTATTTTAAAATTTAAAATGTGTGCTTGGAAATATTGGTCTGCATTCTTTTTTAATTTCATTTTTTATTTATTTGTGATCTTCCTTTATAAAGTGATAATAATGTTCAGTGTTAATAATATTCTTCTTTGATAGTTCAGCGGATTCTTTTTTGTTGTTTAGATTCAGAGATCACTATCAGTTTAACTCTGATGCTTCATGATTAGATAGTGGAAATTATAGTCATTCTATGATTCCTTCTCAGCTGTTACGTATTCAGACCCGAGTTGAGAGTTGTGATAGTTCATTGTGTCGTTAATAGATTGTATGAATATTACAAAATAGAACAAAAAAATTATCTAGATTCCTCTGTTCTCTATGTATGGCTGTTAAATTCTGCTATTGTTTTTTTGTTCATGGTTTGAAGCTACAGTGATGTATACAATCTATAAATTTTTGCCTATTTCAGGACTAGAAGGTGATGCATCTGGTAGGTCCAAACAGACCAGAAGTGAAAAGAAGAGTCGCAAGGCAATGCTTAAACTTGGGATGAAACCTGTTACTGGTGTCAGCCGTGTGACAGTCAAGAAGAGCAAGAATGTTAGCATTTGACATATTTATTTAACTTGAGTGGTTTTTCCGAGTTATCATTGTGTAGTATTTGTCTAAATTGAATGTTTGTTTTGTATTTGTTCATCAGATCTTGTTCGTCATTTCAAAGCCAGATGTTTTCAAGAGCCCAACTTCCGACACCTACATTATTTTTGGTGAAGCTAAGATTGAGGACTTGAGTTCACAGCTACAAACTCAGGCAGCAGAGCAGTTCAAGGCTCCTAATTTGAGCAATGTTGGTGCGAAGCCAGAATCCTCTGGTATTGTTCCGGAAGAGGAAGATGTAGACGAGACTGGTGTTGATCCCAAGGATATCGAGTTGGTGGTGACTCAAGCTGGTGTGCCAAGATCAAGAGCTGTTAAAGCTCTCAAAGTTGCCAATGGAGACATTGTTGCTGCCATTATGGAGCTTACTACTTAATACTCAGAATTGCCAGTGTTTTAGATTTTGGATTGTGGAGCTATTTTTCTTTGTTTGTCAAATTTTTTTGCGCATGTTCGGTTTGAAATAGTGGTTAATCTTTATATTTGCTTTGATCTATTTTCTGTGTAATTGCATTCGCAAAAAGGAAAAAAACTAGACTTTCTTGAAAACTCATTCTTAATGCCAATGCAAGGATGACAGTCTTAAGTATCAATCATCTATCTATACTCATGCCCTTCAAGACATGGTTAAAGGTAATTCTGTTTCATATCATGGTACGAAATGTCTTGTCTTTTTCCCAAAATTTGTTCAGTATCTTCAGAAATGTTTCTTTACATTGAGGGTGGAAAAACAGAATGTTTCATAGCCTCTTGCTATTATGAATCTACTCTAGGGGTGTTATTGGCTGTTTAACAAGTCAAATTTTAATAGGTTTCATTATTAAAATAGAACTAAACCAATCAAAATTGTGCTTGGTTGAATTTGAGGAATTTTATTTTGAAATAACATTTTTTAAAATAAAATATTAAGATAATTGAGTTTTTAAAAAAATTATCAAACTACTTTACTTTAAATATGTATGCCTGATATAATATGATATGGCGATAACATTAAAAATATAAATGAATTAAAAATATAAATGAATTGAAATGATGCGTCATATTATATGGATTTAAAAAAAATGAAAAGAATTATGGAGTATTTCCTTTACTAAGGTGAAGAAAAAGAATTATGGATTATTCTCTTTTTTAAGAGATGCGTCATATTATATGGATTTAAAAAAAATGAAAAGAATTATGGAGTATTTCCTTTACTAAGGTGAAGAAAAAGAATTATGGATTATTCTCTTTTTTAAGAGGAATATGATATGGCGATAACATTGAAAATATAAATGAATTGAATTGATGCGTCATATTATATGGATTTAAAAAAAAAAGAAAAGAATTATGGAGTATTCCCTTTACTAAGGTGAAGAAAAAGAATTATGGATTATTCTCTTTGTTAAGGTGATCCAATTCACTATTTGTGATTTGTAACATAAAGTTTTATGCACCTAAACATTAACTTTTTTATTTTATTGACTAATATTAACTTCGGTGAGCTATTATTTAAAGATTTGTTATTTTTTTACGGATATTTTTACAAACAGAATTAGTGAAAGCATGTCATTAGAGGTCATACATACAACATAGTTTTCCTATATTATACAAACAAATTAAATGGAGGAGGAAGAAGAAAATTTTGGCCTCTATTAATGATGTAGCTTTTGAAGCTAACTATTGAACTTTGTCGTAGGACTGTATATCCACTCCTCCACGTGGTTTCTTCAATCCCATCCATCATGTGCCAGAACTTTAACTATTTTATCAGTGCCAGAACTGACATTATCAGCCTGAAGGTGAGTGACTATGTTAATGATCCATCTGTGTTGTTGATGAGGACATAGTTAAAGAGAGAGAAAGACAACATTTTTGCATAAAATACTGCTAGCTAGTGTTTATATAGCTTTGTCATGAATTTCTAACATGTTTGATGTTATGATTGGGTTGAATATTAATCGGCTTTGTGTCAAAAATTTAGTTTAAGAATTTTAATTAATTTCTAAAAAACTTAATTAAAAGTATTAATTTGTTCAGTAAAAGATATTAGTAAATAAATTATCCTCATTAAAAATGTTAATTAAATCAATTAAAAAATATTAATAAATAAATTATTTTTATTAAAAATATTTTTTTTAACGCCATATTTACAAAGTTGAAAGAAGATCGTGATGTAAAATTCAGGGATAAAAAAATAAAATTTTAAAATGGAGAATTAAAAATTCAAAATCATCTAAATAAAGAGATCAAAAATACATTTAAATCTATAATATATTTGTGCATATTTCTAAAACATAAATAAGAGAAAACACATCATACAATATTATATAAAATGCAGTTTTGGTTATTTAGTTTGATAATTTTTAAGTTTTAATATTCAATTTTAAAAACCAACTCTTTAATCCGTCAATTTTACCCCTACATTTTTGTTAATCTCCTTCCAATTTTACAGTGGTGGTGATAATTATGATAAAATTTTATTTTAATAAGTTGTTAGGATAATTTATCATTTAATATTTTTTATAAAATAAATAAATTAATTTCACTAAATTTGTTATAAATATATTTTAAAATTATTTAATATAAAATTTTAAAAAAACTCGAAGCTTAAGTCCCAAATCTTTTTAAAACCTATATAAAGATTGACTTTTTAGTAGAAAAACAATGTGAGACTTTAAAAGGTTTCTAACTGCCACCCTCCAATTTTACTGGCACCCCTATCCCCCCATGTTTTTATCATTTTAGTCTTGAATAGGGCTGAAAATGAGTCGAGTCGAGTCGAACTCATCTCAGCTCGGCTCGACTCGTTAAGAATTGTTCGAATTCGAGTTCGAGTTCGACACGAACTTTTTTTAAGCTCAAACTCGACTCGTTATAAGTTCACGAACAGTTCGGTTCGACTCGTTAGGTTCATCTCATTAGGTTCAACTCACATGGTTCACGAACTTAAAAACTATTTTTTTTAAATATATACATTTTTTAGTATATTTGACATTTTAAATAAATAAATATATTTTAAATAAAATATTAAAATAAAATAAACGTTACCATATTGAAATTTAACTTTATCTTCGAAATCTACTAATTCAAAACCTACACAACTTTCAAGAGATACATTTGAGAGTCTAATTCAAAAACTACTAAATTGAAGATTAAATTTGTCTAAGATTTGAAGTAAATATTTAAACCTAATCTTAAAGACAGTATAATTCTTTTCATATGTAATCGAGTTGACTCATGAACCTAACGAGTCGAACTATATATAGTTCAAGTTCAGCTCATTTAGTTAACGAACTTAATTTTTCGCTCATACTCAACTCATTTGGTTCATGAACCTAGTTCAATGATTTAATTGTCGAGTCGAATTCCGAACTATCTTCGAGTTGGTTTGGTTCATTGCCAGCCCTAGTCTTGTACAATATTATGTCATTTCACAAAAACTGTGGGGAGATTTTCGAATTTTAGGAAAGCTCTGTATTTTTTGGGATATTTCAAAGAGCCAATTAGATATTTGGTGTTGATGACAAGTTTAAATTTTTACCGCATTTTATAATTTCTTCTTTGGATTTTTCATGCATTTTTATCGCATATTTCAAAAATTTCAAAACAAATTATGCATTTTTCAACACTTTTTCTAAAATCAATAAAAATGCATATATTTTTTCAGATTTTTTGAAATATGCGGTAAAAATGCATAAATTTTTCCGCAGAGTATGTATGAGGCAACCACTAGAGTATACATACTACACCTTGTAGGATGTACTATCTTAGCGGATAAGTCTTGTGTATATATATCAATGCAAAGTACATGTAGTTGTTTAACAACCTTGAGCATTGCAGCTGGGCATGAGGGTGTGTTGCATTGATTATTCTATATGTTGCCCTTGGAGAGGCGACTATTTTTGAGACCAAGCAGTTTGTTGATTATATGATTCTATTTCATGTAGCACTTAATTATTATTTCTTATTATGTTAGTTCTATTTATGACATTAATGCTTGTTATCTGAGTCTTTGTTATAGTGCAATGCTAGATATACAAGCATTTCCCGTCCAATTATGACAGGCGGGTTATTGCTACCACTGCTGGGTCCCCACAGGCCAAGAGATGGATGGGCAGGCATGCACACCTGAGAGGTGTTGTGGAGAATAAGATGAGGACTAATGCATTGATTGTAGGATGTCATATGAACACCCTACATAGGCTATAAAGTGGATAAAAGGGATGAGGAGTTCGATGATGATATACTTTTTTTTTCTTCTGGTTATCTGCGATGGGAGGGGTTAGTGGCTAGACACTTACTTGAGAGGTGTCTGCGCCAATATGGATATGTCCAGGACATCCCACGACCAGTCTCTTCTATTCCATCTGAGGGCATTGATAGCTGATTTCTGTTGGGTTTGGGCTCCCTTCCTATGTGGAGAAAGACCCAAATATAATTAGTCCATTTGTCTCACTTATTTAAGTGGAGATGATCAATTTAGGTTTGAGATAGATAGAGAAAAAAAATAAGGATTCAAAAGAGAGAAAAGATGAGAGAAACTTATTTCTGTTTTTCTGCAACTAGTCTCACAAAATCGACGATCGCCAATTCGTTAACCGTTGGATCGAACTCAAATTTGGTGGGCAGGTTTGTAACACATATATATAACTTTTGACCATTCAGAATTTCAAAACAACATCTGAGGTGAAAGATCGCTTCACACTAGAGTTGTAGATTTAGGAAATTTTTTCACCTTTTGATTCTTATTTGTAAACTAGTTTGCTTTGTGATTTGCGGTTGTTAGCACTTTTGTGAATCACTTTAAGACTCTCTTGTATCTTTAATTGATTATATTAAAGTTATTTATTTGGTCTTGACGACTCATAGTTTTTACGTGGTTTTCCACGTTAAAACTATCAGTGTTCTTTTGTGCCTCTATTTGTTCGATTTGTCTTATATTTGTTTTTGATCCTTAAGATTCCTACGAGTTTGGGGCAGTTTTATATCCCCTGCGTATTGGTTTATTATTGTGTCTTAAATTCCCATCAGTTTCGTGGTAACATTATGAGTTTCACACGTGCCATTAGAGATTGTGCAGTGGAGGTTCAGTTTCATGCGGAGTGTGTGGATGGTTATTTGGAGTGGTATCTTACGATTTCACACCCTTCATCCCATATGGGCAGCATGAAGATGGTGTTGAACCTTCTCATGTTGGACCTGAACATGCTTAATCTTCTCATGTTCATGCAGATGATAGCATTCATTATGAATAACTTTATGGGTTTAGTGAATAAAGATGACGAGATTTATAGTTTGGTAGCATAATACATAGCCCGTGGGGAGTGGATGGGTGGGTCTATTTAGACATTATTATTATTATTATTATTATTATTATTATTATTATTATAATTATAT